AAAAAAAACAAATTTCATTTTCCACGTTGCAATATTATTTCAGTTAGATCACCCGGAAAGAAGAAATAGGAGCCGGGGAAGGATGCTCTTCTCTCACAGTAATTTCCCGCCTACCCTATTTTCCACTGCAAACACAGTGACCGTTTCTTCAAGACCTTCTACAGTGATTTCTATGGCTGATCTAACTGATTAATCGTGACACTTTACTGTAACTTCGCAATTCATTCCAATGCTACGCTCCCTAGCCAAAGCATCCCACGGAATCGCCTTTAGGCGTCTTGCTGGTTTAGTTTTGGACTACGATAGTGACAAAGTTTTTGCATGAACTAACTTAGTCGTGTAATAAGTTACGGTTAGACAATGAAACCAAAAAACTCAGAAATCTATCCTCTGTTTTGTCTTGTGTTCCGAAACAAAACGTAATCATCGATGGAAACAGCCTCTAAATTGTGACATTCACTACCGTGCACGTGTCGAAGCACGTGTCAAGAATAGTGTAGCGTGCGTCAGTCTACATCACCGAATTTTGAGACATCCGGTTGCTGGCCCGGACTGCTGGCTAGAATAGTGTTAACTCAATGTTGCGTGTTGCGCAATAAAAATCCTAACATACCATTAAAAGCTAAAATAAAAGCAGTGTTGAGGAAGAAGTGAAGTCTCTCATTTTAGCATCTCCTGTAATAGGGTGTTTTCCAGTTATTATTCTTAGTTTGAACACTAAATGATCATCAGGGACATGGGTCAGTCACTGAGGTCGCAAATCTCCTTCCCGTGCCTTTCGCTGTTGGTTTTCCTGTTGTTCGATCTCTTTGATGAGATATTGTAACTTAATTCCGCGCAGCATGTGGGTAAAACTTCTTGTGACCGGATACTGTAAAGGTTCATTTAATACGCACTCCATAAAAACTTTCAGGCATTTTGGATCGAAATCTGTCAAGACAACAGCTCAGGTCTTGAAGAGGTACGCAATTTTATCTTTCCAAATTTCTTAACTTTGTATGTCTTCGTTGCCGTCTTTCGTAGTACTTGTTAATCTTCATTTGTGTGCCAATTTTTTTCTCAGATTTTGGACCTCGTTTTCTTCGCCTGCTTCTGCTGTAGAGATTATAAATTGTCTATTGCGTGCTCCAATCCTGTCAACAATGGACTTTAAAATTTTGACGAAATGCATAATGGTGGCTTCAATATTTTTCTCGCTGTCGAGTTGTGCGCCTTTAAAGCTTCAAGAACAAAGTGAGGACCCCGACATTTATCGGAATGCGGTAAGATGATTTTTGCTTCTTTTAAAGAACACGGTATGCCATTTATATGACACAATTGGAAAACCTTTGAGAAAGAAAGAATGGACTCTGAACTCGTTTCATGTTCGTTTGGTGACGACTTTCAAGTGCTATATATTTTTTTCGGCAATCGATCCAGTGGAGTGACACGTTTTGCACCCAAACAGATAAGACGTTCACGTTCTTGTAGAATTATTTATTATTTGTCTCGTCGGGAGCAAAGGGGGTGCAACTATTTAAGAACGTAAAGAAAAATAGACTGCGTTGAATCAGTGGGGTAGTCTGGGTAGTCCCCGCAGGGCAGACATCTTACCACATTGTCTACCAAATTCTGTAGTTTCTTCTTATGCCGAGTGCCAATCTTAGTTGGATTTAGTTCACGTAGTACTTTCTGATAAATTACGTACAGATGGACTGAGACGTGACTGTTTAATTGCATTTCTACGCTACATGCTTACATTTCCCTTTCGCCATGTAAGTCAGGTTTCCGGCTTTTCAATCTTGCCCCACTCGGAGAAAAGAGGAAACAGGTCAGAGGTAATATAAAGAGACTGTCATAAGACGAGCGAGCGCTATCCCTTCACTGCTTTTATACAGCTCCCCTCCCCCTCCTCCGACACACCTTCGACCGTACTATCCAACCTAATTGTGTGAAAAGATACCTCGAAACGTTATTTTAATTCCAGGCTGCACTATTCGGACTATTCGCGACTAATTCGATTGTGTTAATAGTTTTTCATTACCAATTTTTGTTACGTTAGGAACAATGACTAGTCTAACTGACTTGAAGCTTTATGAGGAAAGTTGTTCTTCTAAATGGTTATCAGCGCTTTTAGCGCAGGAAATATGAATAAATGGTTGCTATGCCAAATTCATGAACTTCACAGTCTCCAGGCTCTTTGGGATCTATGAGCATTATAAACGGGGATTGCGTAACTGCATTCAAGGCGATTCCGGCGAGTTTTAGTTTCACTTTCCCATGTGGTGCAAGGCCTCACAAAAACGTACATACGTCGTCAGTGCTGAACCAATTTTGTGTAATTTTTTTTTTTTATTAGCGTAAAGAATATTAAATTGTATGCTGATTCGGTGACAATCGATAATTTCCGTCTTCAGAAATATCGACAATAACCACCCGGACTATTCAAAGATGGCTTTGTTGTTGCGTAAAATAGGGAGTTTAAGAAAACCACGACGGCAACGGCAACGGGAACGGGAACGTTACTAAACAAAAATGGCTGTGCACGTACGTTACAATTCTTGGTACATTTCTTTGCCGTCCTCTGCAAAACAACAACGTGAAATGACCAAATTCTGCGTTGTCTAGAGAACGTGAACTACGACGGCTAATTTTCAAATTTACATTTCAAATTTATCGCTGTGTTTTACATTTACTTTTGTGATAGTTTTATCAGTGATAAACATAGTAAATGTCTTTAGAGTACCGCGAGATTCGTAGGTAAAATATAAATTCATTTTTTAATCGACGTTGCCCTCGGCGTCGCCGTCGTGGGTTCTTAAACTCCCTAATGCCCGGAACAACACGAGAAGTTCATCTTAAGCACGCTACTAGGTTATATTTTCCTTTTGGCCTACGTCGAGATCTATTCTTACGTTAGTTTCCTAATGCAAATAATTGAAATCACTAGAACACTGGCTCTGTTGTTTATTTTGCTTCATCTTAGTGCCGACGTTACAATGAGACTGGAGGTTTTTAGGCTGCTACTCTGGGCTGAACGTCTTCCGGTGTCGTAAACTAGCAAAGAAAGACGTAAAGCCCAAAATGTTTCTGCCAGTTTTATTTTATTTTATTTATTTATTTTTTTTTTTTTGCCATTTGTATGTTTTACCTTTGCACGCAGTTCTTTTGACCTGACATGAAAAATGTTTAGGAAAAAAAATGATAAAAATTTACACGTGATTTGTATTTTGACTCGCCTTACGGGATCGCCAAAATACTGCAAGACTTATAAAAGTAATTTTGGAGGCAGTCTACAGGCATTAAAGCCTAATATGATGGCACATAACTTCTTCCAGAAATGTTTTTAGCATCGAACATATAGCTAATGCTGTTTTTGTTGCTTTTAGCTAGTTTTGCCTTTTAGAGAAAATTATACTCTTCAAAATCTCGGCCTCGGGTATAAAATTTCGCAAATTTCAGCCTCAATATTCTTATAAAATATATTCTCATATAAAAAGAATGTAAAGGACAGGTAATCTGACGTTTTGTCGGCAGAGGGCCCTTTGCATTCCTCTAATCTAAGAATACACGTATGTATTCACAAGAATATTCTCAGCCTAAAATCGGTAGAAAAGTTGAGAATATCTTGTCTAAGCCGGAAAAACAGTATAATATGCTTGTATACATATATAAAAAGTATAATATGCTTATATAAAGAAAAAAGAGTGCAGTGACTGCACTCTTGTGTTTTCTATCCAAGGTGAACTCGTCTGTCACCTCAACGATTAGTTATCGAAGCTTGTAACAACTAAAACAAAACTGAGGTAAAGAATAACAATAATAATGTAACGGTTTAGATAGTCTTGTGAAGACTGCATCGAAAGTACGTTATATAATTACTAGGACTCTTAGCGTGAGGTCTTAGTGCGGCACTTTTAACCTGTGATCGTATTCTTCCTCTCTAAATCTCATTCCTTTAAAAAAGATCGCCTGATCGCTGGTTATGGCACCTTACTGTCCAGAAATGCCAAAATTACCCGAGAATGGGGGACATTGTGTCACCAGTGATTTAAGACGTGAAAGTTAATTTTCTCAGTGTGTGAAGCTTGATTGGTTGTTTATTGTATTGTCAATCGTAAGATAACAGTCTTCTTTTGTTTTGTTGCGGCCAGGCCAAGGGCAACACGGCAGGAGGAAATACGTGAAATACATGTAATACTTTGACTATCTCAAATCCATGGCACTGTTTTGTTTATCTATACCTTTTTAACCTTGAAACGCTCGATTCTCCTCTATTCTGGCAAAATTGCCATACCACATCAGTTCGTGCATACGAAGAAGCAATTTGAGCACACGAAGGGGCTTCTTTTTCCAGAGTTTACTGATTCACTCCCCAGGTCGCTGTTGCGGAGTCTGTTATGAAAACCGTCAGTACCAAGAGTGATCTTCGGATAGGGGGAGATTAGGGTGTTTGATAGTTGACATAGCAGCCGGTGTAAATATTGTTCCCATGTAAATATCAAGCAACTTGATCAAATACTTGACACTCGACACTTTAAACAGTTTGATCAGCAGAATTGTTCAGTCAGTGCCCTCCCCAACCAGTCTAAATACATTCAATGTTCAATCTATCTTTCCACATCGCAGAGCGAACTGATCCGAGACAGAGGTTATCCTGTAGAGGAACATTACGTCACCACACAGGATGGCTACATTCTAAACTTGCAGCGGATTCCACACGGCAGAAACACTATTAAAAGCGGCGGATCTCCCAAACCAGTTGTTTTTCTTCAGCATGGTTTGACCATGGATAGCACCAATTGGGTATTAAACGGGCCTTCAGATAGTCTTGGTTACATCTTGGCAGACAGGGGCTTTGATGTTTGGCTTGGAAACATCCGGGGTAACAAATACTCACAGAGGCATGTAAAACTGGACCCGAGTGAGGATGCATTCTGGGATTGGAGGTAATGTGAACTCGAGTCAGCGTAAATCACGTTTTATCCTATCGTGGAATGTACGGTGTGCAAGCTTGAATTAGAGGTCACCTATGGAAAGACACTGTCTGCTCGGTGGCAGTGACAATGTGCTCTCTGATTGGTTGCACGTCCCGGTTATAACGTCATCACAAAACAGTTCTGTCTTTGATTTCAGACATTATTTTTTTAAAAAAAAAGTGTCATTTGGTGAACTTGGACCAGAGAATTCGTGAGCACTTAGCTAAAAGCCTTTAGTAAACTTTCAAATTTTAGGAAACATGTATTTATACCTTTTAAGCCGGCCGTTACTTTTTAAACAAACTGTTTTGCTGTTGTACCTGACTGAGTGAAACACTCTCAGCTGCCTTCTTGAAAAAGGCACATTTCTTGCCCTGGTAAAGGAGATAAGGCGTTTCGAGCTTTCACTCTTTCTCAAAGCATAGCATTTGATTAAATGTGGTAAAACCGACATCAACGTAATCACCATGCCCAATCACAAAGGACACAGGTAATCTCGAGAACCAATCA